ATATATATATATATATTCGTAGTAACCTCATTTATAACGCCGGGTAAGTTTGGATGGATAACTCTTTCAAACTCAGTTCATTGACGCATCAATACTATGATTTGGTCGATGTTGTTTAGGTGGGTTAGATGTTACTTATCGCAGCAGACGTAATTTTAGCGTCTTTATATAAAATATCATAATAAGTAGTGTCCGAATGACTCGGCAAAATTTCCCTGGAAGTACGCGAACTCCTTCGCGAATCTTGCCGCTCGCCAGGCATGCATTTACGGTAATCATTGGTTATTTCACTTTAACTCAAGAAATATATTTTTCGAATTTGACTCAGTTACTTGTGAGTAGTGTTTGTGTGTGGGATAATTGATACCGATGGATTTTACTTACTATCCTTCGGACTTCACCTTCACGCACAGTCGTAAAACACGCCTTCCATGCGATGGGTCCAGAGTTCAAATCTCGGACGGGACGGTGGATATGCACTACTGATGAACTCTGATAAGAGCGAAACTCGAGTCTATTGCTTCCGAGTGTATGGTTGAATCGATGAACTGAGGATTGTGCGTGAAGATGAAGTCTATAGGATAGCCAGTCAAATGAATCAACTGTATTTTTCGTCACAATAACCTCAATTGCAACACCGGGTAATTCTGGATGGATGGCTCTTTCAGAATGAGAAATACATACACTTCCTGGTGCAAGTATATGACTGAAGTGATAAAGTATTACCGGATGCGCATGCCACCCGAGCGACAAGAATCGTAAAACCATTCGCGTGCTTCCAGAGCCATTTTGTTGAATCATTTATATACAACATATTAAGAAATATGCATACATTTATTACTTATTACACCAGAAATGGACTTTCTCAGAGACAAAGATGACAGACTGCTTTGTTCGTGAATTGTGATACAATGGTGCAACTGACTCATGCACATTCATTGCGTAAACACAACATTTATTAAAACTGGATAATTCTTTCCGGTGTTGCAGCCAGAATAATCGAGTACAGAACGCACTGTATAACCAAGAATCTAACTCCTTTAAAGGCTGATATACATGTATTGCTAGATATACTAGTTTAAACAAAGTATTAAAAAGATATCTTGTTCTTCAGAGTTTAAACTTGGTTGGTCATACATTTCAAATTTACAAAGCTTTTATAAACTTAATTAAAGTGATTGTTTGTCACGTTCGAAAAGATTCATCGTGTCGATATTACTCTATAGGGGAAGTGTGGTTCAACAGGACATGCAACATCTATAATTCCGCGATATCTTTCTAGGAGATCACGATCGCAAACCTAGACTATCCGAAGCCTGATCCTCTGAGCCGCTAATCAAGTCCATTCATGAGCTGTTTGTGATCTCAAGTGCCTAGGAGATAATAAGGAAAACAAGCCCCTTCGATTCCAGAGTGATTTATGTATAAAGAGCGTAATATTCATTACGATGTATTTGGCATGACATAGAATCACTTCAGTGGTGAACTGTGGGAATATTTAGACAATTATATGATTAGGTAAATATAGGGATTTACAAAGGATAGAAAAGTAATTAAAGTGTACAAAAGTTTGCAAAATAATTGGTCCTCACTTTGCATG